ATATATATATATATATATATATATATATATATATATATATATATGCGATAACGATACACTTCTCCCATTTAAAGTCTTTCGTTTAATTTATTATGTAAAAGACGACTTATAACATCGTGTGATCCTACTGAACAATTATTTTTATTATTTTAACGAAAATGATGGATATATAATGAATAAACACATCTCTAACGTCAAATAGATGGCATTATTTGTGACTGTTTATTTGAAATCATTGTTTCGTGTAAAGGGTACGAAGAGAATATTAAAAATACATGATTTTATATACACATCTAACACCTTATGCTTTACACCTTACGAGTTCTATTTGCATTATTTTATTTATTAATTATTATATTTGTTAATTATTTGTTAATTATTTCAATTTTTCAAAGCAGCTGGAAGATATTTACATTCACAATTACAATATTTACATTCACAATTACAAAAGTTAATCTTAGAAAAAAATTGGATATATATATATATATATATATTTTTTTTTATTTCCTTCTGTTACAAGTAAAAATTTTAATAAAACGAGAAATTTTATTGTTCGCGTAACAAATATAGTAAGTTCAGCCTTTTCTCATTAGATTCTATCATTCTTATAGTTAAACTTTCAAGTCATTTTAATTAAAAGATAATTTTCGACTCAAATCATTTTAATTAAAAGGTGAATAATAATCGCCGATATAAAATCAAATAAAAAATCAAATTAAAGAGATCGTTACTTAATTTATGTAAAAGATAACTTCCATTCCTGTTATATCTATGTAAAACATGTAACCAAATGAATCATTATAAAATAAATTTACGGTATCATTAGAAACCTAGGGGATTCAATTGAACGCATCCACCGACATCGAACACATTCCTTGAAATTTTGTTTAGTTTGCTGAAGATATCTAGATGCCTTTCAGAAGTGACTTGCTGCAGATTGTAGGCAACGCGCATAGACGCCTGAAGCAATATTAAATCATGTATGACAATCGAAAAACGACAATTTCATGTATTCACATCATCATTGATACGATTACACTTAGTAACAAAGTTCGTACCTCCGTGCACCAAGTCTGAGTCATCAGGAGCTCGTGCTCCGCATTGGGCAAATTCTTGTTCAATGATCTAGTCGCCCTGCTCAATATAGCTGCCATCGTATACGTGTCGAATGCGGCCTGCGTGATCCTGTGGAGGATAAACTGCTCGTCGACAATGCCTCGTCCGTACTTGATAAGGGAAGCTTCTATAGTTTGGCCAAAACTCTCCACGCTCTGTGTAATAGCAATTAACATATGTATATATTTTAATTAAATTAAAAAATTGATACTTGACATGTTTATCTTATACTAACCTTATAATTCATACGATATTTTTCTTTATGATATAAATAATATTTTTATAATTTTTTCTTTACCTTGGAGCAAAGCGCTGCACTCTCCGCCAATTTCGGATGCACCAAATGCGTAAAAGTAGGCGGTAAGCTTAAACCTATTGCTCTGGTCGCTCGTTTAGTAGCTTCTCCAAAGAGCAGACCCATATTTGCGCTGGGATTCTTGAAAGCTTTCTGCAGCTCTTTCAAGTGGCTACCAGCGTATTGAATTCCCGTAAGAGCTATAAACAAACGCAGAATGTCGTTTGTTCCCTCGAAAATTCGAAATATGCGCAAATCGCGCAATACGCGTTCCAGATTAGTGTCACGCATGTAACCCATTCCGCCTAAGGTCTGTATAGCCTCATCGCACACCCACCATGCAGACTCTGATGCAAAACACTGTAACAGGAAGTAATTACTCATCTTTTTATTGGAAACCGTTTGTATATTCATATATTCTGATGCACTGTAAGATACTTTGTATATTCATTTATTCTAAAGCATTGCAAAACATTTCTCGGTATTAATATAAACTTTTGTATTGTCTATAAAAATAGACCAAATGCATAATAAAAGAGGATTACCTTTGAAATAGCTGCTTCCAAGTGGTAGTCTTGACTTCCTTTATCCATATTGCCGGAAATCATATATGCGAGAGACTCAGTAATGTAATGTAGTATTGACATGCGCGCAATTTTTTCCTGTATAGTGCCATACTTATCCAGTGTATGACCGAATTGCACGCGTTGCGTCGCATGATTCACGGCTTTGTTGATGCAATAACGCATAGTGCCAGAGAGTGCCGCAGCCATACCGAATCTGCCGTTGTTCAAAATATTCATTGCAACCTTTTAAACGTAATAATAATTAGTATTCATAATAACAATTACGATAATAATTAATGCATATAAGTCACATGAAACTCGAGTTTGTTGCGCAAATTATAAGTTATTATTATGTGATAAATTTATGTGATAATTCTTTTGATTATATAAGTTTGAAAACTGAGATATCAGGAACTTTATCAAATAGACGATATGTGTGTAATTAATTATATAGAAAAAACAACGAAAATAAAAACTAATTGTGTTCAATTACAAATAGAAAAATATGAATTATTAATTTTTCTGCAAGTTTTTCTACCTTAAAGCCTTGACCCTCTTTGCCAATGACATTTTCCGCCGGTATCTTGACGTCCTCAAAGAATACCTCCGCCGTGTTACTACACTTGATGCCCATCTTGCTCTCCGGCGGTCCACTGGTGACACCGCCGAATCCTCTTTCAACGATGAAGGCGGTCATTTTGTTCTTCACTACGCCCGTATCCGGATCTTTCGTGGGCACTTGCGCGAACACAGTCATTATATTGGCGATACCGCCGTTCGATATCCAGATCTTGCTACCGTTTAGAACGTAATGCGACCCATCTGCGGATTTGACAGCGCGACAACGTATCGAACCGGCGTCGGAGCCAGAACTCGGCTCAGTTAAACAGAAGGCGGCGTATTCGCCGTTGCTAACTCTGGGCAAGTATTTGGCTTTTTGTTCCGGAGTGCCGAACAAAAGTATACCCTGAAACGCACACGCACAGTTAAATGTTATCAATGTGAGCGCAGCCAATGAATCATGTAATCGATTAATCATTAATGATCAATATACATAGTTGGCATTCCTACTGGGGTTCAAAATGAGGCTTTTAGTTAGTCCTTGTATTGGAAAAAATAAAACTAAAGCCCGCACACCAAAACCTATTGGAAACTGTAGAAAATTCCTATAGCACTCATCAGATCTCTAGTTTTGCAAGAAAGTGTAATTTTACTTTGAGTCCAATGCTCTGATGAGCGCCGAGAGTGATGCCCACGCCGAGGTCGTGGTAGCCGCATATTTCGACGCATCGGCTATACTGAGTGTTGGTCAGTCCCAAACCACCGTATTCTTGAGGCACTTGCAAAGCGAATGCTCCCAACTCCCAGAGCGCAGCTGCGGTTTTTTCGTCTAAACTCGCTTTCTGATCGTTTTTCGCTGGATCATTAATTTCCTATGAGAAGAAGAAAATCAGATCTATAATTTTACTTCCAATTTGATAGACGTTTGAAGAAACATTTACCTCATAGAACTTTTCCATAGGGTCGATCAGCATTTTGACTGTGTCGGTTTGTTCCTCAGTCATAGGTTCAGGAAAGGGAAATACTTGGCTCAATTGCAACTGTCCACGGAAGATATTCATAGTGAAGGATTGGGATTCTTTTATGGCGGCATTTTCCTGCGGTGCTTCCGCAGATTTGGTCTTCACAGCAGCCTGAGTAGCCAAACATCTGTGTAATTTGAGAATTGTTTTAAACAATTTCCACTGATAATAATTAAATTTAAACAACTTTTCTCAGTATTTCTTAGTACTATTAAAATATTGTTATAGTTATTCAGAAATTTTACATTTCTCACATATACTTGTTTGTGCAGTTTTAAAATTGCTATTTTTTTCCTGTAAAATTGTATTTATCTGTATAGAACATAATACACAATTATTTTTAATCGAATTTAAAAAAGACTTATATTTTAAAAATAACATACGGATATATATACACAAGTACATATAAATATATGCAAGGTGATAAGATCGAGAAAAGTATGTACGTAAGCGACAGGCCAAAGTCCATGACGTATCACGCACATAGATTTATAGTTAAAAATATCAGTGATACAAATTTAATCAACGTAGAATCAAAGTACACTACGAATGACATTAACGACAACGCATTTTACGAAAATCGCTTAAATTCTGAGAATTAAATCGTTTAATCTTTAATGTTATCATGCATAATTAAATTGCGTCGCATTAATTTCCATCGTAACTAGCTTATCTCTCGCATGCGCTACATTTCTCTAATTTCATTTTTCGAACTGTACTTTCATTTTACGAAAAGAAAGCATTGCAAAACTATTCATAAAAATGTTATCGCTTCATCAATTTTCATTCCAATGGAATTTCCAATTCACTGTGACTTCGTTTGAACACTGAGTTTGAACAAAAGACCATTGACAAAAGCAATTGACTCAACCTCAGGGAAGTAAATCAGAAGGAATTTGTCAGCTAACCGACACACTTTGCCAACAGTTCGATCGAAATTCGATAGCAACAGGTTGCTCGAGTCGGAACGAAAAAATGAACGACGATCGAAGCTTTACCTCGGTGCATTCCAAGACCCTAAGGACGTTTCAAGGGCCTTGTTAACATTCTTGGGTATCGAGAGAACTTTCACGATACGGAACATCTTTGGTGATGCAGCTACCACGGAACTCAAAATCGCACTCGTAAGCTGACACGCGAAATGTCGAATGCTGTAAAATGAAAAATACTTTCACTTTGCAAGAAATGCAGAATAAAATGGAATATTTCCAACACAAGAACCCACGTCACACACACACCTGACGTTCACACCGCCGTCGTATTACTAACGCACTCACTCGGTAGAAACATCTTTTATACGAGCAGTAATGCAAGAAGTAGGTTATAACGCGGACGGGTGGCGGTGAAATGACATATTTTTTTTGCTGAGTTCTTTTCCCTCGTTATTTCATAATTCCCGCCATGATTGTCAATATATTTATCAATAAACTTCAGCTTTTTTCTTATCTCTTTAAATTTTAAAAATTTATATTATTTCTGTATTTCGTGTGTACTTAATTAAGGTCTATCCAGATCCTCATTTTTATTACCACGAGGAAAATGAAGGATTCTGATTGGTTAATTTTCTTATACGTTGGTTGCTTTCCAACAAGAGATACAAGTATCATCCTCTTTCTTACTCACTAAATATGGAACAAAGATAGAATGATGTTTGTATCGACTTGTGTCTCTTGTTGGAAAGCAACCTTATGCATTATGCTTTTATGCAAGAGTGGTGCTCCCCGCTTTATTGGTCGAGACGATCTTGTGCTATGTATATGCGCCTATGTAAATTCGTCTGAATAGGCTTTTAGGCCTATTATCGCATTTGTTGCAAATGCTTTCTTGTCCAACAGCAGCCAATCAGCACGTTCGACGACTTGCAGGCGACAAATGAAGTATCGTTTTGAACGAATGACGGAAGAATACAATGGAATTTGGCCAATCAGAACCAGTACTGAAAATCTATAGTTTATATCACGTATACTATAGAATTTCAGCACTAGCAGTGAATTTCGGAACGCAGTCAGAGCGCTCAGTGAGCACTTGTGGTTTCGGATGTAGCTATTGGTAGTGCGCTTCTCTCTCTCTCTTTCTTGAACGAACGAACGCACTCGGTGTGATATGGCGGTAATTTACGTTAAACCACTGAGCGGTCATGATAACCGAGTAATGTGACGCGTGCCGCATGGACTTCTGCGGCGCCGTTCCAACGAAACTAAACTTCGGATACCTGCGGTATCCGGAAACTATGGGTTGAATAGTAAAGAACAAGCGTGCACACGTAAGTTGGAAATCGATGTTTGCAGTAACGCATCTACACTTGATAAGGTTATATAATGTAATTGTGGCTCGCAAGTCACGATTTTTTGCCCTTTCTTATCGAGATTTATGATTTTTGTTAATCAAAAGCCACAAACACGTAAACACATGTCTACACTTGGATTGATTCGCAATAAAAATCTGCGCACACTCTAATCTCGTTATAACTTATTGTGCATGAGGATATATGTAAATGTAAGAAGATTGAATGAATATTAATTTGTACATTGATTAATAAATGCAATAAAACACATGTCGCTCATATGAGTCTGAAAACTGATAGAGTTTCTATCAGTTTTCATTATGATCAGAGTGCTCTGATTGATGGTGAAGAAGTAAGAATGAAACAGTATTATCTCTTAACTATGTAAGCTGATAAAATGATAAAAGTTATGATAAATAGCTGTGCTTGATATCCTTGCTTGTATTTTTGCAGATAGAAAATGCTACAGCTAGCAGTATCTCTTTGGACACGATAGGAAATTGTTACAATTGGATATATTTCTTGCTGAATTCTAGTGTTCTTGAAAATTATTACTATGAGTAACATTACGTCAGAGGAGATTTCATTGAGATCGATTTTTAAACTCAACCATAATGACTTTAAAGAATTTATCTGTGGCTGGGGTGCTGCTGTCATCAATGTCACTGTTACCTTTCCAATCAATAAAATTATATTTAGACAGGTATGCATCACATGCAGATAATATCAATGAATGTATTCTTATAGTTGTGTTATGAATATGTAACTTATTATTATATCATTTTGAATATTGATAACAGGCCAAAAGAACTTATAAGAGTTAAGCGTTAAAAGGTTGTGCACAAAATATGGAAATATGATATTCTTATATACCACAAATCATCTTAATATTTGCATCAATAACTGTGACTAACTCTCATTTGCTGTTTTTCTCTCACCAGATGTAATATATTATTGTGTACATTGCATGCAAACATTTCAATCCTTCATTGGACCCTTTTTACATCTTTATACATATTTTGCACAATTTCTTAGTGCTCAGTTCTTATAGGCCTTTCGTTACAAAACTCTTTTGGATTATTGATGAGTCTTTCAATATATTCAATATATTAAATTTTTGTTCATTGATAACAAGTTTTTTGTTAATACAGATCCTGGAAGGAGTACCGGTGACTGCCGCAGTCGGACAGATGTCGCGGGAGGGGATACAACTACTGTATCGTGGAATTTTACCACCCCTGTGCCAAAAGACTCTGTCCGTCAGCGTGATGTTCAGCGTATACGAAGGATGCAAGCAAAGGCTCATTCTATTAACTGGAAGCCCCGTGTTAGCCCAAGTGATGGCAGCGAACGTGGCCGGCGCGACGGAGGCTCTCCTGATGCCATTCGAAAGAGTACAAACGCTGCTGCAAGACTGGCATTATCACGACAAGTTCAAGAATACATCGCACGCGTTTAAGCACCTGCTGACAAATTATGGGGTGACAGAGTGTTATCGTGGCTTCTTGCCCATTGTGTATAGAAACGGCCTGTCGAATCTCATGTTCTTCACATTGCGCGACCAATCAAAGATACTAATGGGCGGGCACGAGTCTCTGTTGACCAATTTTGTCAGTGGCGCGCTAATCGGTGGTTTCGTTAGCACGGTGTCGTATCCATTAAATGTAATCAAAATACACATGCAGACGAAGATAGGCGGCGACTTTGAGAGATTCTTGGCTGTCATGCGCGAGGTATATATTTCCAGAGATCGAAGTATAACGTATTTCTACAAGGGTGTGCATCTCAACTATATGAGGTCCTTCATCAGCTGGGGTGTGATAAATGCGTCATATGACTTCCTAAAGAAGATCTTTTTCTAGGTTGAATAATAGAATTTTATATTTATTTAGGAGATATATTCCCTCTCTCTTTGTTACACGACCTCTGCTGTATATATTAATTGGTATATTAGACAATGATAGGAGAGATTTTTCTGTTGTGTATGAGCGTCAAATCGCACATTTTTCCTGTCAACGGTATAAGCAGGATAGCACAGAAAAATAGTGTTTATTGTGGGAGCTTTACACAATGATACACACAATGATTAGGAAATGTTTTTAAATCTACTTTAATCGATCTATAATCGAGATAAAATCAAGGAAGAATTCTGTTTTACAAGGGAATTTATGAGTGATAGCTGCACTTGTGTAACTCAGTTAGAAAATCTGTCATAAAAGGAGTGTTTATAATTTGAAAACTAAGCGCTTCTGGACCAATGTTTATATAATCTTTTTTTATCTTTACAATGAGTAGAGTATGCTCTTAAAGTTTGTATATCTATTTCTGAAATACTCTGATACCTCTATAAATTGTAAAATGTATATAAAATGTAAAATTCTAAATCTACTTTGGATTATAGATCATTTGAGATAGACATTTAATGATATTAGCTGATCAAGTTATCTTGAATGAATACGACTGTGGTCATGTGATGAATTATAAAAGCTCACTGTCATTTCTTTCTGTCTGCAGAAAGACTGTATTATTTGTAAATATAGATGCAGTTAGTTATTTTTTTAAATTTTCGATTTAATTTTATCGTTATATAAATACACTTAGGGACTCTTTATACAGATTAAAATATGTGAATATTTTAGGAATATGTAATTAACAAGATAGGAAACAATTATGTGCAATTAGGTAGAAAAATTCTTGCCAATTATAAAGTGCTACCTAATTGTGATTCGATAAAAACACGTTTCCTGTTCTTATCTTAAGAATTATATATAATTCCATTGTTGTGAAATTCTGCAAATTTGTGAATGCTTAATAACTGATATATAACTAATATATGCAATGTTTAATATTACATAATCTATATGTGATATTATATTTTAATACAAAAATGTTCCAAGAACCTCTCACAATAATAGGAGTAATTACAGTATAATTAGGCAATTTGTTATTAAAATACAACACTATTTTTTCATATGTTATTAATTTTATATCAAATAGATAATGATGTATTGTTTTATTATATATGGCGCAGGAACAATTCGATTAACGGGACATGTTGCATAAGATATTGTTAATTACATCGTTTAATAAATCAATTTACAAGGAATGCAAGAAAAGAAATTCACACGCATACGAATGTTTTACAAATGATATTCTTCGTGGGATATTCACGCGCAGTTATGCAAAATACAATATACAATTCCGATAACAATCAGTGTTTTATTTCATTTCGATTCAGTTGCTGTGCTCTTCGACGTTAAACATATTTGTTCTTTCTTAATGATTTAGAAAAGTCAAGAACAGAAAAGGATCTCAAGTAGGTCGCGGGAAGATAACAATTTTTCTCGAGATCTAAAACGAAACTACGAACGCGCTAATTACGACCTCATCACTCAAACATAACTCATTAAAAATGAAATTCTAACGGAAACAAGTTATTCTTAAATAGAACCCGCCGCTCTGAACTCCGTCGCGAACGGGGTTGTCGCAGAAATAGGCAACATCGTGGCACCAAATTAACGCCGGGGGCGAGAGTGCTTTGATCCGCGCCTGACTTAACTCTCCACTTGTGCCCTGCGCGAATCGATGCGCGCCGCGGCTCTCGGCTGCGAGGTATATGTGGGTGCCGGTCGGCTCCAGCTTACACAGTTCGCTCTAGCCCGTGCCAGGTTCGGCGTTGTCCGCCGCCCGGAAGCGTCCCGTCTCGTCGGCTCGCGTCGCGTCCTCTCGGCCGGAGTCGTCGTCGATCAGCAGCGATATCCAGACTAAACGGGATCTCCAGCTGACCGTGTTGCACAGGTAGGACTGTAACCCGCCACCTGGAGCGGAATCACCGACCCGGGATCGCTTAACTCCGCCTGTGTGTCAACCCCCCGGGCAGTCGTGTTTCCTCGCGGTCGACGGGACTGGGACCGGTGTTGACAAATCAGTGTGAGTTATCGAATTTAGGTGAGTCGAGCGGGTCTCGTCGCCGTCACGAAGATGCATTCTCGCGAACGGACGACACGGGGGGAGAACGGACGCGTCGCGGTCGAAACTTTCGCCGAACTCGCGATTCGCCCTCTTCCTCGGGGAATTCGATCTCGGCGGTGTCACGAGTGCGCGAAGGGAAACATGAAAGATCGGCAAAAGATTATCGTGGGAGCGGGGAACGCGGGGAAGCTTCCCCGTGCGCACGACGTTGCAGCCTGAACTTCGAGGTCGCGAGTCAAATTCCACCGCGAGGGCTTCGATTCTCGATCCGCTGTCGGACACGCGAAGGACACTACCGCACTCGTCGACGTGGGGTAAGACTTCGGCGAAGCTGTGAGGATCATTTCCGCGTACCCTGCAGGTAGAATCGTACACTGAGAAAAGATACTTGAAGCTTGCTTGTGGGGCATGAAGCTTATTTCTGCGAAATCAAGTTTGTCTCTGTGAAATGAAGTTTATTTCTGTGAATGAACTTTATGTCCCACACAGATAAGTTTGCAGGCGTTCTTCTCTCGGTGCACCTCGGTGTCGTTCGATCGCGGCTTCCCAGTGCTGCTGCGGCTTTGCGAATCGCGTGATCGAGTACCTGGCGACTGCAGCTTGTCGTCTCTTTCTCTCTTCCTCTCTTTCTAACTATCGCACGGCTAACTTCGCGCGGCTGCTTCTCGACTGCAGGGAGAGCCATGAAGAAGCTCCGTCGAGGTCGTCGCGTCGTCGCAGCCGCTGCCGTCGTCGTCGTCACGAAGAACGGCCTCCCGGTGTCGCGATAGTGTGTGCGCGCCGATGTCGTCAGTGTTCGTGAGCCTCGTCGCCGAGGCTAGAAGCAGCAGTGTCATCACCACCGTCGCCAACGACGTCTCCACGCTCGAGGACACGCGCTCGAGGACACCCACTGATCGCGCACGAGAATAATGAGAATCAACGCGACGAAGATGACCACTCCGATCGAGGAGAAGATTGACCAGAAGCTGAAGGTTCGTAGCTTCTTTTCTTCCGTTGTTTCTTTCGTTAACTTCTTCAAGAGTACTGTGCGTGCACTCAGATTAATTTTCCTTCTCTGATTCGAATATGGTCGATAGGAATGTAACGAATATTGGTATAAATGCAAAACTCCACGAGAAAAAGAGGAAGCTCGTCACGTGACTGACAGATGAAATTAAATTATTTTCGTCAGATTTCGATAAATTTGCAAACAGCATAAATTTTTTAAAGACGTTTAAAAGAAATAGGACGCTTTAAGATATCATTCAATCATTTATTTATTATTTGGATTCTTTTCCAAGAGTGTTTTTGGCTGATTGCAGTTTATTTTACCATTTAGCGCACACTTGTATTGTTATGTCATTAATTTATCACACTGAAGAGATTAAAGAAGGGATCCAGAAGAAGAAGATGAATCTCTGTCATTCGTCTCTTATCCCCGCGAGTATCAATAATTATCATTCCACATTTGCATTCAGTCGCTCACGGCACGCGTGCATAATCCTGGCCGTGACACGCTTCGCCTGCATTCGCGCAATGCAGCGCAGATGTACGATGGGTATTCTGGGATGTCTGCACACAATCGGATGCATCGTTACTGCCCGGTGCATCCGCTTTCGCGAGGAGACATCGTGACGAGCTGGGTTAGCGATATCCTCCCTCTTTTCTTCTTTCTGTCGCGTTTCCTTTGATGTCCGTCGAAGTACAGTACGATCTCTTCGTTTCTTTTTCTGTTTTTGGTTCGCGCTCGCCCGGCTTGAGTGCTTTATTGACGTTGATCACGGGTTTCAGGTACGTTCGTGCTTACCGCTAGATACGCTATGCAGGCGGCGAACGCGATCCCGTGTTCTTGCATACGATAACGACGAGCGAAAGGTCAAGAGAGCCGTATACGGTGCATTACGGCCGAGCCACGCTGCACGTAATTCGCGACAGTTTGCACATTACCTCGAGTAGACGCACGCAATAGACGTCTGGCCAGACGACGTCGCCGGGATATCCTGTCATTTGCAGAGGATACTTTTGGACGTGTCGGGGTACACTCCGAGAAAAAGACATGGTGATGGCAACTATATAGGTGACAACTGTACGAGCTTCACATGTGAAATTAATGTATATAGTTTAAGAAACTATTTTGTAGTTTCTTGCAACTGTTATTGCAACTGAAGCCTTGGTTGCAGTAACTACAAGATAGTTTATTAAACTATACGACGGCTACTGAAAAATGTATGAGCAAAATCAATATTTTTGAACTGTTCAGTATGTTTATATGAGTTACACGATTTCTTTCTCATAATTCTCCTTATCCAATAGTTAATTTTATAATTTTAACAAACATATGAATTTTATCATGAAAAAAATTTAGTACTTTATTAAAAGTTGCATCAATATTTGTGAAAAGTCTCAAAATTCTATCTCCTACAACTTTTTTCTTTTTTCTCAAAGACGTCCAAAGGATATCTCCAAGACATCTTTTAGTAATTTGCGCTATCTGCGATAGGTTGCGATTCTATATACAAGACTCGTGTAGATGCCGCCTATACAGTTGCCATTAGCATGTTTTCCTCTGAGTGTACTATTACCGCGGAGCACTCGGGAGCGATTGGAAATTAATGGCTCTTTCTAATCACGGAAGGCGCTTCCCGTTCAATCGACCTTCTCGGTGTTTGGCTTCCGTCAGAATTCGATCGGACAAGAGCGCGATTTGCCTGACGGCCTGGAGATCCAAAAGTCGGAAAATCCGAAGGTGTAAATCTTGCCGACCGCGATTTTCCAGGACAGCGCGCATCCTCGTTCGACGCCTCTCGCGCGATTTTTCATATCACCTCGCGGGAATTCGAACTGCCGCTGCCGGCGTGTTTCATCATTCCCGATGAAATTCCCGACAGGCGCGGCAGGTGCAGGAAATGTTTCCGATCGAACCGTATAACGCCGTTAATCTGGCCTGAACGACCGACAATTCGCCGATTGTCTGTGAAAAGTGAGGAAAGTTTCTCGCCGACCGGCGAGCCGGGCTCGCTCGTCGTTGTTTTCGCGGAGCGTCCTTCGCAATCGATCGCGGTTCAATCGATTTCCCGTTTCCTCCTAAATCGCAGCATTAGCTGCGACACGGACATGGTGGATATAGTTGACTTGGGATCAACGCCAACCGAATCGACCCGGTTAGACCCTGCCCGTAAACGTCGGTCGGAGTAGAGTAAAATTCAAGTGATTCCCTTGTCAGCTTCGAATGTGGCGGAAGCAGAAAGAGAACACGCGAGAAAGAATTCAGCGTTCGTGGCAGCGAAAGAATACGCGGAGTCGCTTTTGCATTAAAAATACGCATTAATATCGTATTACATCGGTGCTTGACACTCGCTTTTACTTCTCTGAGAAAACTGCGATATTATTGCACTAGAGGTTTCGCGAAAACAACAATAGCTCTGGTTATGACACAATGAAGTTCATGTTATACAACCACGTAACCGTGTATTCCGCTTGTTTTTCCAGGGTAAAGAGAGAAAGATGGAGAACAAAACAAAGAGAAAACAGTACGAATGACATCGATTATTTTCGCGCTGCTACGTCGAGCGGACATTGAAGATTACTATTATAGAAAGATCGAAGGAGTAACGAGAGAGAACGGTGGCGCGATACACGATGATATTCAGCACGCCGGATGCCTCGAAAAGCGCAATGCAACGATAACGCGACAGTATCCGCTATCGAAATTGGTCGCGCCAATCGCTCCTTTGCTGTTCAATTTTGCACAACATGCGGAATCTGGAAATCTGCTCGTTCTCGCGCAGCCATCGACACGGCGTCTGGAGAATAGTCAGTTGCGTTCGCATTTTAATGATCGGATTGACATGGAATTAGTTGAAACAGTAGCACATTGTTAATTGACTGATTGTTAATAATAGATAACCTAGCTTCGTTTTGTTAAAAGTCTAGAATCGATTTTGTTAAAAACCTAGAATCCGTTTTGTAAAAAACCTAAAATCCGTTTTGTTAAAAATATACGGCGTTAAATGTGTAACAAGAGCACGATTGGGAATGTCTTCACGAGAATATCACGCCACGTCCCGCTTCGCTGATTTAATGACCCGAAAATCTCGTTTATCGGTCACGTTCCGATTGTCGCTCGAGGGTTCTGGGTAGTTTATAGGCATGAATCAAAAGAGTTTCTCTGGAATTTTTTTCACAAAGAAATTATTAGACAAACATTGGTTTTACCTTTTTATTAATGTTTTTATTAAACTTTGAGCAAATTATGATTTTTTTTATAATCTTCCTTTTCTCCACTACATATACTTAATTTTATAACTTCAACAAACAAGAATTTTGTCACGAAAAAAATTCAATATTTTATTAAAAGTTGCATTAATATCTATGGAAACTTTCAAAATTTTATTGCCTATAACTTTTTTTTTAATTCAAGGAAAAATGCATTTTTCAATACTCTACAATGAAAGAAAAAATATCTAAGAAATAACAATTATTTATTTGGTGAGTACACACTGTGACATCACATATTTACTTATACTATAAAACATCTTTTTCAAATAAGCAAATATACATTCTTGAGACTTTAAAAAATCTTATTTTTTTATGAAAGCAGTTATTTATCCTATTTAAATGAAAGAATCTAGATTTAAATATGTATGCTGTTAATATATTCACTCTTTTCCTTTTTCTTCTTCTAAATAAATATTTATTAATTTTTAGATTTTTTTACTCTCAGTGCAGGTCAAAAGAAACTTCTTTAATTTATGTCGACAAATTACCCAGAGCCTTTAATACACGCTCTCGCCATCCCCGTGCGTTTGTCTGTCCGGATCGGCCAATTTAGCGATGTCTCTCGCGGCCAATCGAGCGTGATTCTCTCTGACAGAATGCTCGCGGAATCGATTCTTCACGTTCGCGACACGCTCGAGACATGCTCGTTTAGTTACTTTACACGTGTCGACGGAATCGAGTTTTCATATTCATGGCATGCAAATTGCCATGAAATTGCGTTTACGTTTACGAAAACCTTACCCGTATTTTATCCCGACCGGCCGTCTGAAATGTATGTTCCGATGCAAATATGAGAGAATTTCGTCGAAACTTCCGCGAAACGTGCGACCAGCCTTTGATATTTTCGCGTTTGCTCGAGAGAAATCGACTTCACGTCGCGAGCCGGTCAAGGAACTCGCGGCGGAAAAGTCCCCGCGTACATACCATACACGCGGTGTCACGATATAATCTGTAAATAACGCCCGCTCCGAAGATTCCCCGATAATTCGGTTAGTTTTTTTCTTCCCACTTCTTTCTGCCGTTTATAGCCGTTATCGCCGGGAAAGGAACAGCGGAATTGGATCGTGACCGTGTGATTTAGCGAGGTCTTGGCTCGCGCGCGCGTTGAAGATGGAAAAATCGATTAATTAAACGAAACGAGTTGCCGCCATTGTCGGAAAAATTCACGCTGGGTATTCCGCGCATTGAACGTACGGACGAGCAATGTGGTTATTATCGAGCCATTACGGCCAGTCAACAAATACGAATTAATTATACGACCCATTACAGCGCCCTGCGAGTCAAATGTAACGGGTGGGTCGTATCGTCCGACGAGTTCAGCGGAGGCTGACGTAATGACGAATAACTTCGTTGGTGATAATCAGGCATGATCGCCGTAAAACTCCCGATAAAACGCGGACATTCAATTAAGAATTTATTTACGGGCCGAAACGGTCGTTCAGGCCTCATGCATAAATGTATGTTTTCGCTATGCGATGCCTTTCCGGGCGCGGTGCGCGATCAGTCAATATGCAGGCTTCTCATTAGTATCGGAACGACGGCAGGCTCGTTTTCTTTAATCTTCAGAGTACTTCCGTATCGAGAGCTTCTTAGAAGTCCGGAGTAGCTTCCGTTCTTCTTGACCTGGTGACCTTTTACCTCGCGAACAAAATGCACAAAAATGGCCAGTAAGAACCTAAAACATAGCCAGTATTGCGGCTACATAAATTTATTGTATAAATTTATTGACATCGTAAAACTGACAGAACGTAAACTTAAGACAAACTCGGCTGGTTGGGCCTTTATTGATCATTTTTATGCATTTTGTTCGTTTGTTATATTTCTAGAGCCAATAATCTTATAAAATTTCTCTCGCCTTCTTTGGTTCGACTCTGAATAAAATCTTCTGAATAAAATTTAATAAAATCGTAGAAAATTTCTATTTTCTGCAAAACTCTTTTATTTTTATTTCTAAAAATTTAAAATTTACTTTTTCTCAGCAGCAGTCAATATTTGTATCAAATTTATTTTTTTCTATTTGAAAAATTGCTGACACAGTGCAGTCGTGTGCAAATACCACAATCGATCCAACCATGAATTGCGCTCGCGTTAATGTTAATGAAGTCTGCGAATTGAGATAATGCATTTAGCGAACGTTTTTTGTCAACTGGAATTTATTGCCGGCAGGTACGGACGGGGATGGTGACGGTCAGCGACGGGAAGAGCAAGCCCGTACCGATGCGCTTGCACCTGTCTATGGAGGTACTGAAGCTCCAAAGAGAAGATCTGGAGGTAAAGTGCCGGTCGCGTTATTCATGAGGCTTGTCGTTTTTGACCGATTGCGTCGCCGACACGCCGGTGTCTTATCGATCGGTACGTTTATGAAACGTGTCAAAGACAAGAATGCATTTTTAGCAGGCAGCGAATCACAATAAGCCACCTTTGGATGCGAAGGAGCGCATGGTGCAGATCACCAGGTCAAAGATCGGGGGTCTGGGGCTCAGTATAAAAGGCGGAGCGGAACATAAGCTTCCAGTGCTCATATCCAGGATCTATAAGGGTCAGGCGGCCGATCAGTGCGGCCAGCTTTTTGTAGGGGACGCAATTATCAAAGGTATTTCACAGGAGCTGTTGCATACACGTGTATTCGCTGGTGTAGATTATTAACTCACGTCAAAACGTTCGGTTTGGCCTCGTCTCTCAGCTGAATTCCTCCTAAATCATATTATTTTGATCGAACGCTGCGATATATCTCATTAGAGAGCACTCGTTTCTCGTTTATTCATACCGATCCCGACGTGACATGACATTGACAGTTTAGCGATAGTTGGGCGGTACAGTTAATGAGTATTGATTTCGATTCCTACTTCTGCCAGTAGCTGCCTCCTATTGAAACAAAGTTGATATCAGCAACGTTCCGTATTATTCATGTAACAATCGCGACTACCTTACTATCACAACACTACTCTTTGTCCGTAACAATATTGGGAATTTATTAAAATTACGTGATCCGTGCGATGAACTCGTAGTGAACGGGGAGTACATCACGGCGTGCAATCACGACGACGCTGTTAATATCTTGAGGAACGCCGGCGACATAGTGGTTCTAACGGTCAAGCATTATCGAGCCGCCAAGCCGTTTCTGCAGAAGAATGGTATGTTTGTACATTGTCCCGAAAATAGGATCCATGCAAAACAACGATTTCACAGTGCGCTGACATTCTCATATCTATCGACAGACAAAGAAGAGAAACTCGATAACGTCGCAAATGCGGAAGACGGATGGATATCGCCCAATAGGCAAGGCAGTCCTCGATGCAGCCACAGTCGACAGAGCTCGAACGCATCTTCCACTTCGATGCAGTATAAGAGATGGGTGGACGTCATTACAGGTAGCTAACTTATTTGCGAATATGACATTAAGTTTAACTCACAGAAATTAAACTTTATTAAATATGTGTAGCTCATATAATAATGCATTGACTGTTTTAACATTATGTTGCAGTTCCGTTGATGATGGCATACGTGACGAGATACATATTCGGCACGGACAAGTTGAGGAGAAACGCATTCGAAGTGAGAGGTCTCAATGGGGCGCGCACGGGCGTGATACATTGCGACGACAGTGCTATTCTCAGTCAATGGTTGAAATATATAACTGATAACATTACAGGATTGACGCACTTGCAGGTGATATAATTAATCACACGATCGATCGTGCGATGTATCGTCGTGTGCTCTATTCGTCTGGAATTCTGTCGATGAATCCGCGATAACTATGTAGCACTTTGTAGGTTAAATTCGTGACTGATTTTAGATGAAACTGTATAATCGTAATTTCGGCGTCGGCGAGCGTATAGAGTATATGGGCTGGGTGAACGAGGCGGTAAGCAATAGCAATCAACCGTGGCAGAGTTACAGACCGAGATTTTTAGCTTTGAAAGGACCTGATTTGTTGTTGTTCGAGACACCGCCTGTAAGGATCTGCTTCACTCTTTATCGCATAGTTCAAGTCTTTGAAGTGATTGTCAGCTCGCTTTATTATTACTAATATCGTTTCTTGCTTCCAGTGCAATATAGGCGATTGGTCACGCTGCGCATTGACTTTCAAAGTTTACCAGACGATGTTTCGCGTGATGCGAGAGTCGGAGAACGTGGACGAGAGGCAGCATTGCTTCCTGGCGCAAAGTCCGGGGAAACCGCCGCGATACTTGAGCGTTGAGACTAGACAAGAGTTGCTGCGGGTCGAGGCGGCCTGGCACACCGCTATATGTTCGGCTGTCACGCATTTAAAGGTGAATACGTGATCCGTTGAATTCGCGCCTCTGTGAAGTATCGTACTCTAACGTGCATTTTTGCCTGTTGTTACAGAGCAAAACATTCCCAGTAACGTTCAACAGCAGAACCGCCGGTCTAACGTTGGAGTGGACTCAAGGATTCACGTTGTCTTACGAAGGAATCGGAGAGATCGCGTGGCGTTACAAGTTCTCGCAACTGAGAGGATCCAGCGACGACGGTAAGAGCAGGCTCAAATTGCACTTCCAAGAACCGGACAGCATCACTATCGAAACAAAGGTAAACTCACATTCTGTGATAAAATTGAAAATTTCTGTTGTGGCGTTGCTTTAACAATTTTTTCTTCACGTTTTGTTCAACAGGAATTGGAGTGTTCCCAGTTGCAAAACTTGTTGTTCTGCATGCATGCGTTTCTGACGGCGAAGGTAGCCGCGGTAGACCCCACATTTTTAACGTCGACCACTCCGTAAAGAGATGTAACATAGATATAATATTGAACGTTATTGCCGACGAATTACCAAGTGGATCAGATCTTGTGTTCTGTTGTCGTTGTGTACGGATTAGATAGAGCGTGTGCGCTAAAAAAAGAAGAGAAGTCTGCCGCGTGGCGGAGGTGAAAGGTGACAGGAACTAGTCAATATATCCAAAAGGTATTTTTATCGTTTACATATAAAATCACGCAAAGCGGTACTACTTTACTCATCCTACCAAGCCAATTTCACTAGTACGTATATGAACCTAACGGCTATCATAGTATTGTACGCATCTAGATAAGAATTCGCCGGAGTTTCTAGGGCAGCGACAGCGTGCGGCATCTATGGATGATCGCCCGACGACGATGCGATTACATTGTTTATTCTTTTGCTACACGTATTTTGTGTCTTTTTTTTAATCATTTTTGAGAGACACAATCTCGTATATCTACGATTTTATACGTATTTAGTATGTAGCGAATCACACACGCTGTGGATATACTTCAATGCGAAATACCCTTTTTGCAGACGTATCTCTCTTGGTTTTGCGCTTTGGTTGATATATCGTATGTCTGAGATTATAGAGATTTACAGACGACCAATGCGCCGGTTCATGATTTTTAAGTTACGATGACGAATCGGTTCTCTTTCTCTCTTTGTTTCTTTTTTAGTTATAAGAGATTATTTATGTACACCTTAAGTATTGTATTGCATACCGTACATATATATCAGGTGCCTTAAAAACCATGAACAAGGAGTAGCTAAATTAACGGAGGCATCAAAATTTCCGTTTCAGCGAGGAGAATCATCGCGCATCCATACTTAGAGTATCGATGGAAGAACATCGTTGCAGTTCAATAAAAAAATTTTTGATTTGCGTTTTAAGGATACTTTGGAGTGCGAATGAATTGGAAAAAAAAAACAGTATTGATTCGTCCAATGCGATAAAACGTTGAGGAAGTAACAAGTTATACAGCCCTATAGCAATAAAACTGTAATCTACAATTAGATGGCTCACACTCTTGAACGTAACTCAGATATCGAAATAGTTTGTTTATCGATTCAGTATTATCGATGGGGGCAATGATAAGTTCTACAAAATAAGGGTGAGCGCCATCAACATCGAGCTAATTGCTGAAACACTCGTGAACGTTAACGTACTTTCCCGTATTATTAAGCGCGACTGCTTTTACTTATCATTTAACCAGTAATTCACGAAATTCGTTCGCATGGATAATTCCGATATAATTGTGACAAAGCCTCGCGATGCACCGAAAGCTTATTTGATACTTAATGGATATTGAATCACGTCACTCGCGTTCCAACAGGTCTATAGTGTGTCTTCAGAAAGTGTACCAATTATATCTTTCCAATCATTAGCTGTAGTGACTTAGAATTAACATCTGTATATTGAGTATCTTATCTTGGTTCGCAATTAGATGTAAAGCAATAAATCCATAATGAACGAACAACTAGGACAAACGCAAGGATAAGGCGGTAGAATATAAACGTATTATAACAGAACTGCGTATACAGTAATAAGTATGAGAGCCGAAAGAATATCATTATCGATAGCATCCGCAAGAATGTTGCACGTTTTCCAATGTCAGCCTAATAATTCTCCTTCATGGATGTATTGTGACACATAGATAACGCGAAACTTTAACTTTAAATTTTAACGTCGAGGAGACCGTCGCGGCTTTTGGTTTCTATCGTGTATCCTGAGAGTCTACGGTTACTCGTAGAAAGTGCCTACAAAGTAACATAGAGAATGTAAAAAAAAAAGAAGAAAATCCGCTTCTGTTATATTAAAGCGTGGTCTAATGCCGATTGTACTTTTCTAGTCTAAAGCGTGTCAGAGAGTTACGCGATACTATGGCCAAGGCGTTTCATATCGCTCATCTCTCGACCGCGAGATCCTAAATTCTCATTCAGTGATAGAGAAGAAAAATAAAAAAGAGAATATCGTCATTTCGATGCATCCGTTGCCGTCATTGTATGAACAACATGTATCGCGTGAAAATGTATCTGTCTGCATATTTCTGAATTTTATTCATCTCAGATCGACATAATAGATATAATGTAGTGTAGTGTAATAAGAAATTAAACAATATACATATACTCGCTCTTGAATTTGAACGCAGAGTGATTTCAACGATAAGCATATTGAATTTACGTTTCCGTTTAAACAAAGTTTGATTAAAATCAATCGAGAAATAAGATTTAGTTATTTACCATTTACACTCTCGACGCTTAATTCATTGCAATTATTTAATCTTTAATAAAAGAATATTTTTCTTTTTATAATATGATTTCGTTGGGAACCTCTACGTTTAAAACTGGGAGCTTATCAAGAACTGCACAATTATATTACATAGATAAGTTAGTTAAGGAAGTATGGAATGAAGCTGAACAAATCTAAAGCGCAATTAGGTCTAGATTATATTTGTCGAAATTGTAGGTCTTCTTTCTTTCTTTCTACACAGTTGACTGTTAGAGGAACTTAAACATGATACGTTTATATTTTGTTGATGCTTACAAATTATCGTTTATTTATTGCGTATCTTACATTTGTTAAATTAAAGATTCTTAATTAAACATTTTAATTACTATGTAATCAGACTTGTGTGAATTAATTTATTAATTTATCAATATATTACATATATATCAATAATACATATATATTTATTTATTTTTTTCAAACGATTCGTTTGTACTACTCTCCAAGAATTCAGCTCATTCCATGAGTTATGCAATAGAATAGTTGTATATAGCATACTTGGGCTGCAAACTCGCTGAATATTTGATTACTTTCGCTAAGCGTCCGCAATTCTCGTTCTCATATATTCTACTCAGATTCATTTACCAAATTCATATTTCTTTCTTCCTTCGTGATTCGTGCATATCAGTACGAGGTGGAAGAGCGAGCTCGCGGCGCCGGCTAACATCAACATCGGAATCTTATACTTCGAAATATAGTTTATCTGTTATAATGTCTATCCCCCATTGACAATATGTTCTAAAATATATCATTGTTAGAAGTTACAAATCCTACGCGTCTCTTTGTTATCACCTGCCTTTCTTCTTAAGGGGATATACTTGAAAATTTTATCGACAAAATACTGACATTTTTCTGCAAAGTTTACACGTATTAGTTGCACATTATTACAATCAGGCGTAAAGTTTAAAAGAAGAATATGACGTAAACCTTGTAGGAAAGTTAATATTTTGTCGGTAGTTTTCAAATATGGCATCCCCTTAATTGTCTGTATCTCTTCTTTTTGCCATATCTTTTTGGAATTCACGTACAGATATCACTGCTTCTGTTATATTTGTACACATATGAATACACATAACAATATGGGATGAAATAATTCTGCACAAGCAAGCGTCATAGCATTGTGTAAAATAAAAGAATTATTATTAGACATTAACGTTCACTACAAACTATTCTCCTTATCATCATTATCATCATCATCATTATCATCATCATCATTATTATCATTATCATCATTGGTGTCTTGTATGCATTCGGATGCATTGTCCAAAGCTTTCACAAGAGTTTCGAGCAATTGATCTTTGTATTCTGACATTAATTTTACTCCATAATTATGGAACTCCATCTCCTCCTTCTCCAATGAATATTGCACTACAGACCACATAATGTTTCTAAATTTTAAGAGTACGTCAGCGGTTCTGAAAGATACAAATGATCTATGCAAATTGGCATATACTAAAAAGAGATGAATAAAAACAGATAGGTACTTACCTTTTGTCGCAAGAGAAGTTTAAAGTATCATCTTTGTTAACATTAATTTTTAATTCTATCTTATCATCTCGCTGAAATTCAAAGTATATTATAATTATGCACACATAAAATGTTCACTATATGAAAACAGCGCTAAGTAACAAATTTTAATTTTTATTAATTTGAATTACCTCATAACATTGAATTTCTTGTTGATTAAAGAGTAATATCGTTAAAGGCGATATCATACTAGTTTCCCGAATAATCATGCGTTTACACATGTCATCGTGCTCACTGCGGAAATACGTCAAATATGAACTTGGCCAAATCTTGCGCTTATAATTGACACTGTCTCCCGAAATGAGGGCTTTAATTTTGCCTCTGTAAAAATACGATTCCATTAATCATAATATATTATCTGCGCATTTAAGGATGCACGTGTGTATGTGCATATTATGTGTAATTTTCTTACACTCGCAGCTCGTTTATGCCCGTCCTTAATATTCCTTTCTTTAATCCTACATTCTTATGTTCGATCAACTGCTGTGTAGCAGCGTATATTATAGCTTTAACTAACTCGTCCTTATCTTCAAACTTATTTGCCGCATTATCAAAATCGTTATACATATGCGTATTGTTCAATAGGCGACATAAGACCATCTGTCGAAGAAATAGATCTCGTGTCACTGTAAAAAATCACGAATTTTTTGCAACATCTAAATAGGAAGACCCACGACAATAAAATGAAGAATTTGCTAAATTGTTCACATAAATCTTCATTCTATGAACTTTTTTAAAGTTCATAGGATCAAAAAAATTGTAAAATTTTATTCGATTATGAGATATAAAATTCTTTATATGCGAAAATGTTTTCACAAAAAAGGAATGATTTTTAACAAAGACACCGAAGTTATAAGAGTTAGAGGCTGGTAGCAATGTGCAAGATTGAGTAAGTTGTTGCGTGAGTAATACCACTTACTAGACAATAATTTCATTTTGTTTTGCCGGAGATGCATCTTTCGGCAAAATTTAACTGCTAAACGATGTCTTTTAATAGAATACGTGCTCCACGCTTTAAAAATCCGCGATATCGCGAGGTGATCGCTTGATGGATGATATATCATTTTATTCTTTCTATTTTTAGTTTTCTCGACTAGTTCTTCGGAGAAGCCACTTTCTTCGCCGGAAAAGACGTTCGCTATGGTTACAACGGGATGTACGCATCTATTGCAAAAATAAACATTGTTAACGAAACGATCGAAAGACCATGATTGGCGAGTACGCAAAATGTATCATTGATTGAACTCACTTGAAAATAGCGGAATATACCAATGCTTTGCTGAACCTAGGATGCGTTGTAAATACTGTCATCCGTTTACCCAAAGCTGTGAGATTCTCATCTTTGTCTAGAATTCCATTGTTTATCAGATACTCCACTCCTTTCTGTATTTTATTCGGAGCAGGCGGTTCAATTAAGTTACTGAAAAAGATCTTCATATTTTCGTCTGTATACGATTTACACTCGAGAATTGTCTTCTCCAATGAACTAGACAATATCTGCGCAGTCGGGTACTCCTCTAAGTTGTCATATTCTGTTCTTTTAATTAAATGATAACTCTCGCCTGGTTTCATTCGGCCAGCTCTTCCTTTTCTGTATAAAGACAAGCGCGACTTTATACGATGTGTGGTGTAAATAAATTCATAAAAATTATGTAATTATTACTTTTTTTTTTATAAAATCAACGCTATGTCGATGCAAAAGCTTTATCATTTATTAAATACTTATAGAAAGTTTGAGAGTATTGAAAGAAAAATAGAAAGTTCTCATTAGATGCCTAAAAAAACCGAATTAATATTGTTTATTTTAATCGTAAAAATTATTAATTTATCGAAATGGATAGTTTTATTTTTTAATTTATTTGACACGACAAACTTTTTGTAACAATTTAATATTATAAAAATAATATTATGTGAATACCTCTGCTGAATGTTCGCCTTAGTGATCCAATCGTTGTGCAAACACAACATATCTTTTGCATCGTTCCATTTTACTACTCTGCGTATAGCGGAATCCACAACGTAACACACGTCGGGTATGGTAATGCCAGTCTCGGCGATATTCGTAGCCAGAATAATCTTGCGCGTGTCCTTAGGCACTTCCTGAAAAATTCTGCGCTGTGCGTCATGCGTCTGCCTGGAGTGAATTGTCAGGATCAATTGCTTTTGTGTACTAAGCGGCTCATCCTCGAACATCTTCTGAACTTGCATAATTTCAGACCATCCTGGCAAGAAGCACAGGATAGCGCCGTACGGTTTATTCGCGGAAATCCACTTTATAATCTGCACTATATTTATGAAGTCGGTCAAGACTGGTAAATCGTTCAATATAGGTGCTTCAGGGCGAAACTGATACGCATATGGTCTATATTTGTTAAAATTCGGCAGGTTCTTAATATCCTCCATAAAATTCACTTCTACAGGATATACTCTACCAGGCACCTTGATAGTGGCGCAATTGAAGTACTTTTGAAACAAATGCGCCTTTATAGTCGCCGACATGATCAGAAGCTTCAATTCAGGATTCAGATTGAGCGCTCTTTTCAGCAAGATCATCAGTATGTCGGTATCGATAGAGCGTTCATGCGCCTCGTCCAGGATCACGTGCGAGCATCCTACTAAACTAGGAGAGCACTGTAACTTTCTCAGCAGTATACCCGTGCTGCAGTAGACTATTCTGCCGGATTCCTGCGGCGTCACATTCTCTAGTCTCACTTGATAACCAACGACATCGCCCAAGATCTCTGATCTTTCGTTCGCAACACGATCCGCCAGAGAGATTGCCGAAATCTTACGCGGTTGTGACACTAAGATATTACACTTGACGGCGTTTCCACTACGTGCGTAACTATCCAGTATAAACTGAGGAACTTGGGTACTTTTGCCGCATCCTGTATCCCCTTCTATCAATAAAATTTTATTTTCGGCTAACATAGAAAGAATCTTATCCCTATAAAATAAGCAAATTAAAATAACGCATATCTAAATATATTTACAATGCAATTATTATACTACAAGATGTATGAGCCAAACAGATTGCATAAATCTTACCTAAACTGGAAAATCGGTAGATCAGTATGTCGTGTATGTTTCTCTATCAATCTAGATTGCAATGTCATATTACGATGTTTATAGTTTGTTTTTATATTTGAGTCAAGAGGTCCGAAAGCATCATAGTCAGACATGGTTGCGCTCCAATTGCATGAATAAGTAGTAGTAGAATTGTCCAGTCTTGGGATATCTATTTTCTGGATATATTACGAATGGGTATGTTAATTTAATAAAAAATTATACAACAGATATACTTGACAGATAAATCCCAAGTCGGTGAAATATTTATATATTAAAAATTTTAATGCAGGCGATTACCATTTTGTAAGTCTTGATTAAGCTTTCCATGTTGTCCAAAATTTCAGGAGCAATGCTTAATTCGTGAGTCTTCAATTGCATATTCTGTATTTGTTTCTTAGTATACAGAATCGGTTTGCCGTTCATTAACTTGTGATTTGTTTCTAACCACTCTAAACATTTCAGAGCTGCGATATTACTAGCTACTGTCTTTCTCTTACTGACTCCGTTGAAAGACATATTTTCTGGCCACTTGATATTATAAGTAAATTTCCATAGTTGTGATTTAGGGTCTGCATTACAGCTCGAAGTTAAAAGCGTTTGATCATTTAGTTCTTGGCATACTATCCTGTAAATTTCTAGCAAAGAATTCTTTGGCTGTTGGTATATCCGTTCCAATTCTGAAATTATCAGAAATTTGGGATCCCATCACAAAATCAAATAAATTAACAAATAATTGAAAATGCTATAGAAATGCTTATAACATAGGAAATAATTGTTTTACACATGATCTATATGATTTATATAATATTATCTTCAAAATAAATGAAACTAATAATAAATATGACATGAATAAAAATAAATGAGCAATAATAAAATAATATTAAGTAACATTTAATAAGAAATAATAAAGAATAATATTGTATACAAGACACATTTGGCCATTCTCTAGATCAAAAGTTATTAAAGATTTTCAATCAGGTGCATTCATTTCTATGTAAGTATAACTACATTGAATTGAATGCATCTAGTCAAACATTTTTTTACTCTCAATCTAGAAAATAGCCAAGCATATCTAAATCCTGGTGTATAGCTGTCTTAACTACAAGTATTCTATCTCTAACTTATGATTCTTAATTATATTATACATTATAAAGAAGTTTCTTTAAAATTATAATTTTTAAAAGGAAAGTTTCACACATATACATACTTTTATATGTTAGGACATTCTTCCTAAATTTATTGGATGTAACTTTTTTAATTTGTTCCTTATTGTACATATCATTGGTTAGGCTAGTGGTACTTTGCTGTTAATGAAAATTTTTGATGTTATCTCCCTCTAGTAATACAATTGTACATATAATTATACATACATATATATATATATATATATATATATATATATATATATATATAATATACAAAAATATAATTATTAAATAATTCTTACTTCTACATTTTCTAATTTTTGTATCTAAACTATATTTATCACATCCTCAAATCTAAAATCTTTTACCTGTGATATAGAAATAAATATTTTTCATTTAGAAGAAACTATCTTCAAGCAATTTAGAAAGATGCATCTTTAAACATACCTTGGTTAAATGCACATTATCTTCTTTCATAGAAATACAATATTGCATTGCACTATGTACATTTGTGGATTTAATTACATTTTTATAAAAATATGACACGCAATATTGTTGAATACTGTAAGAGAATTTTGATCATATGATAAGCATTATAAGATGTATTGTACAGTAAAAAGAACTTTGCAAGCACATGCTAGCTTACATACCATTTATATGCTGATCTGTGCCCAGTGAATATTAAACATGTTCCTGACATTGCATGTGTGTGTTTTAATATGTTGCAGCTGATAAACAAAATATATAATTTATACAATTATATATACATATATCATGCTTGTTCTTAAAAAAATTAATTTCTATAGTCTATTAAGTAACCACTTAATTTAAAAAAGATACGAAATTAAATAAAAAATAATGAATAGTACTAACTTAATCGTTGTTTAAGTTAGGTTTTAGGTTAGATTCAATCTCTAGATTGCAATTTATATATTGACTTAGATTAATACTCACTTAAAATTACAACAGAAACTATGAATGGAATTATATTTAATGTTTGTAGTAGTATTATATATTTTCCAAACAAATGTTTGTTAATTTCGTTTTTATACAAGAACCAGTTTACGCGACCTCTCGTCCGGTCACACAACAGAAGTATAAAATAATAGTTTATACAGATTCTAGTTTAAATTAGTATAAATAGATAAATGTAGAAACTGAGATAAATTACATATATGCTAAAAAATAATTAACATGATTTGAGAAGTTTTGTTTTTTCAATGGTTTAAATATTAATTTTTAGTTGGTATTTTTACTGTTGAGTTTTACTTGTTTTACATCAATCAAAGCACTAACAATAAAATTAAATAAATAATTTGCTATATTATTTAATTTTTAAAATCATTCCGAAGTTATATACGGACGAGGTTTACACCGCTTAAAAACACTTCCTCTTTAATTTACATATAGGCGCGATTTTGCATATCAGCGAATTATTTTGCTAATCCAAATAGTGTTCTTCTAACTTTAATCAAATATAGAGAATCAAGAAATCGATTGTATAAGAATCATTATGGAATGAATAAAAAACTTAAAGTTCCTTCTTTAAAACGTATTTATCGAATTTTTTACAAAAGTAATTGTTTGATGTAAAATATACAAGGTTAAAAATTAATGCGCTCACCACTTTCCGTTTAATTCGATATATTTTGCTAAAATAACGTCAAGACGATAATAATAGTGACAAAACTAAAGATTTAAAGCTTTAAAATACTTTTTGAACCACATCGATATCATCATGTTTAACAAGGTTAGAGCTTGTTGAATTTTTGGTCTTTCTTTTTAGCTAACTGCAGAACTGGTGCAACAAGTTAAAGTGAGACAAGTATATTTTTTCTTACTCTAATGGCTCCTGCACACAGGCAAGCATTACCGCGTCCTGTGTGCAGGAGCCATAACTTATTGCACCAGTTCAACAGTGCAGCTGAAAAGAACAGACCATTTGTCTTATCAGGGCCCTTATGGCTTCTGCACACAGGACGCGATAATACTTGCCGCGTGGTGGAAGTTCGCGCGACAGCCAATCAATATGCTGCTTTCCGTAATAATCTTCTAGCTCTTATAGAAAAACAACATATTGATTGGCTGTCGCGCGGACTTCCACCACTTAAGAACGGGGAATAAGAATTTGGATTGGTCAATTATTTCTATTCCCTGTTCCTATTGGTTAATGCCTATTCCTATTGCCTGTTGCCTGGCATTGTGCATAGGGCTTTACCGCGTTCTGTGTGCAGGAGCCATTATTCTTGAAATAGTTGCGTATACGTAAGTTTTACTGCGCAGACCCCTATTCTTGAAATTTTTGCGTATACGTAATTTTCATTGCGCAGCTATTTTATAGTATGATTAAACCTGCGTAGTAAAACTTACGTATACACAACTATTTCAGAAGGCCCAGAATAAAGGCCCAGTATAAAAAATAAAAGGATGTCTGACCCGCCATTGAATCGTACTACGATTTCATTTTTTTTTTTCTTTATTTATAAAAGGTAGTACAATAGGTACAGTGTTCAGGAGCGAAGCCTATCTAACCCTACTACAATTTCAATTCTTCGTTGAAGAAAGTAATGGCTCGCAGCATAGAACTTGGGAACTAATTCTCAGAAATAACGGGTTTAATATTACATAGGATGCGATCCACTAGACGCTGCAAACGCTTTGAAGCGTCATAAACATTTGCCTTTCTTTAATTTCAAAGCGTTTGAAGCGCCTAGTGGATCACATCCTATGTAATATTAGACCCATTGGCCCATATTCTGAATCCTCTTTTATCGATAAAAATGCCTTAAATGTAGCTTCTCAGCCAATCAGGTAGCTTCTAAGTCTCTTTTAGAGGCACTTTTATAGATAAAAGAGGATTCAGAATATGGACGATTATTTCTGAGAATTAGTTTCCAAGTTCTCCACTACGAGCCACTACTTTCCTCAACGAGGAATTGAGTACGACTCAATAGCGGGTCAGACATCCTTTTATTTTATACTGAGGCAAAATTCAACAGGTTCTAACTTCGTTAAATATGACGATATCGAAATAATACCAAAAGCATTTTAAAGCTTTAAATTTTTAGTTTTGTTACTATTATTACAATATTCTTGTCGTCGAACTTTGATATATAGTCGAATCTTATATTTAAGATTTAATATCGCCCTTAAACCCTTTATTTGCTCCATAAGAATTTGATCAATAATTTGCGCATCTTATTTATTATTATTATACAATGCTTCTTAAACTATTATCATTATTTTTGGCAAAAGTACAGCACGTTAAATTTTGTCTATTTGTCAAAACTTATCTTAAAAAATGAAAAAATTTCTTAATTATTCAGTATTTAAATTACGAAACCTAATAATATCTCATTAAAAAATTATTTTCACATATAAGAGCTAATTAAAACCCTGAAGAGCAAATCAATTCTAACAAAAAGAATCGAACATCGATTTATCGCTTATTTTCACAGAGACTAGCAGTGTGAAGGTGTAATTTACCGGTAGCGTGTGTTACTTTTGTCAGGTATCAATTCCAGTCACATCATGAAGCTAGTGAGGTATGAAAAATGTACTTAAAAAAAACTGTTAAATTAAAGGGAATATTATAGGATAATTAAATTTTTGTGTATGCAACGATTTATCCGCAAAAATACAAACGACGCTCTTGTGCAATATAACCTAATTCGTACAGAAAAGGCGCGCTGAGATAACTCATCCCAAAATTATTACTTTCCAGTAAACTTATATTATTATTCAATTACAGATTTCTAATGAAACTGAGTCATGAGACTGTGACGATAGAACTGAAAAATGGCACTCAAGTCAACGGCACGATTACAGGTATATTAATTTAACCTAACATAACCTAATTTCTTAAGTCAAGGCTTATATTATAAAATATAATGCCAGAAAAATATCAATTTACAGTGTTTATTATGGACAAGAAAAGATGAAATGTAAAGTTGTTAAAGTTTATTATTGATTGTACACAATTATAAAGCAAGAATTTAAATTTTATCATTTTGTCGCAGGTGTAGATGTGGCAATGAATACACATTTGAAAACAGTGAAAATGACAATAAAGAATCGAGATCCAGTGCAATTAGAGACTTTGAGCTTACGAGGAAACAACATAAGGTATTACATCTTGCCTGACTCCCTTCCTTTGGAAACTTTGCTGATAGATGATACACCAAAAGCCAAGGCCAAAAAGAAAGAAGCGGCAAGAGGTATATAGCAAAATAATAGCTGTGTTCTGCAGAGAAAACTGCTTTGCAACTATTGTAAAATTCGTGAATCTGACTGGTGGGTGCTTTTGGATTCAATTAAGATTAAAAGTACACTGATCACAGAGTTATGAATTTTGCAACAATTGCAAAACAGTTTTGCAAAGTACTGGACACAGCCAATACTTTGACTATTAGAGCCAAGTGGAGATTTGAAAGAATATTCTTTTAATCATTAATTATATTATTCATCTGCAGGAGCTGCCCGTGGTCGAGGACGTGGTGCTAGAGGTGGTAGAGGCGGCAGGGGTGGCCGTGGTAGAGGACGAGGCAGGCGATAGTGATACTACCACGTACACCACCACGTACACCCTTTGTAAATCGTCGAAATATAAATTTTTCTATCCTCAATGGGACAATTCGTCGAGTTTGATAAGAATGCAATTAATTTAATAAGGATATGACTACAAGAGGTTGTTCAACAAATGGTAACCTTAGCGAGTCAAGTTTAAAAAATGCAATGTCAAATCGATTTCCTTCTTAGTGGTCGAGGTGTAGCATCTGTTGACCATGAATACCATTCCGGTATTTTTAACCTTGTGTTGTCGTTCGTCTGTTTCTAGTGTGCGTTCAAGGAACTAAAAAGAAAGATCAATGGAGATATTTATATACATATATATAAGTCAATTTCAGTACAATAACATTCACTTCAATATCAATTTCAATGCATTTCATAGCTAGACCTCTTCTCTTAGGATGCGATTGATGTCGACTTGGACTTGACAAAATGTAAGGTAAAAGTACTAATATCTGAACACTCATAACACTGATACTTAACTCTGAGCATTTTTATTGTTTTAGTTTTTACAAAATAGGATATATCTATGTATATATTCTATATTGAAAGTTTAAATAGTCATATTTAAAGACTAAAACAAGACCAAAATACTAAAACAATGTCCATGGGTAGATACTAGTGTTATTAGTATCCAGGCATTATGTGATACTTTTGTCTTAAACGATTAATGTCAACTATTAGTTAACTGTAAGTTTTCACGAAGAGAGAGAGAGAGAGAGAGAAAAAGATAACAAATTACGATTAAATGTCTGGATGCAACGCGATCAAACTGAAGTATTAGTACAAAACTACAAGTATTTTGCACTAAATATCACGCGACACTATTGTAAGACGAATGCCCGATTACACTTTAATTTTTTGCAATTGGAATTTATTAGTGCGGGACGCGAGAACTTTTTGATTAAAGAAAAGATACAAAGACATATTAATTAAAGCGCGACCAATGTTTTCGATTGGTCTATCGCCTTCAAACTCGCTTTTGTTATCACGTAACGAACTTCAATTACACACAAACACAGACTGCCCTCAGTGCATTCGTCTAACCGCTTCTGTCAGCGTTTACGCGAGGCGAGGCCGACCGTCGTGACAATGTAACTCACACGTCCGCCACATCGCGACGATCCGTCTCAAAATGTTCGCGTGTGATTATGTGGAGATCATCAAAAAGGCTGATCGTCAGTTGCGTACAATTCGTCTTCAGATGCGGCCGCGGTAACCTCGAGGCGGAAGATATGGATGACATATCAGATTACGATGTTCCTGGTAATACGGCGACGACGGTCGGTCGGCTCTTTGCGTCGCGGGAGTTAAACGCTCTCGATGGAGCGTTTAACTCTCGCGAGTGTAACTTAATATCACGTGAGAAGCGGTGCATCGCACTTCGCCTTACGCTCACAGTGTGCGGAAAGTGGCACGGAGCGTGCAGAGTGCTCGTTCAGTTTCACTTTGATGCGATTAATCCGCGGCAATCGCTGTCCAAGCAAATTCGCGCGTGACTCGAGAAAATCCAAAATGTTCTCGCCCCGTGAGGAGAATTAACTTATGTGAATATCGTCTTCGAGAGTAACGAGCCCCGTGCCTCGTCGATTAATCATTATTAACAAAATTATTACTCATTAATAAAATTGTATGATACCTACAAAGGAAACTAGCATACTCGTGTAACGTTATCTGGATTAAAATAGCATACGCCGCGCGATTATGTCATAATCGATCAACGAGAAAAACCGGTCGCACGCGCAATGTAATCCCCGAGATATATCCCGATAGAAAGAGAGAAAGAGATAGATCATCCCCAAGATAAAACATCTCAAGCGTGCTGAATCGCATGCGCAATTCCGCGACGTTGCGAGAGTGAGTGCGGCGCACCGCGCCGCGGAGAGACGGACGTTTCGCGCGCAATTTGCGATTACTCATCGCGGCGATAATACATAATGAAGAATCGTCGCCGTTGACCGAATTTACCGCTCGTCTGCGGCTCGTTGTCGGGCCCGCGGCGCAATCCGCCACGGGGAATCGATCGATATCCCAGCCAGCGTGTAGATGCTCGTCGGAGACGCGATATAGAGCGCTGAAATCGATTCAACGTCCTCCAGCAGTGCACTTCCAGCCGCGAACCTTCGGGACACAATGCCAACCTCAGCACCGACCGGACGCGCCCGGTGCGAAACGCAGCTCGCCGCCGGAGGTGGTGACGAAGATGCTGCGCGCCCTGGAGGAGATGGGCGAGCCGGTGGACCCGTCGACGGTCGACAAGATGCGCACTGATCCAGCTATGTCCCTGGAGTTCTTGCTTCGCCCCAATACGCGAGAACAAGCTGAGAGCAGATGAAAAAGGAGACTTGCGGCCTCTTCTTCGGCAACCTCGGGACTGATGACTTCTCAGGTGGCTCTTGGTATCTCAAACTTCGGCTTTTACGGCAGCTGTCGATCTGCTCGTGTCAAACATTCGTGTCATAGCGTAACTTTGATTTTAGTTCTCCCTGCTGCGCGTTCAACGTTGCGTGTAACAACGGCGTATGACATAGAAATAAACCGATGCAATATAATATACTCTCGAAGATGCAAAGAATTGCGCAATTTAGGTTTCTTCTTTTTTTTTCTTTTTGTTTTCATCGGCGAATGTTTGTTACATCTTTCGTACGAAACTGCGTATCGTCGCTGTGTATTATCGCCGCAGCGCATTGGCGAGACGCAGGAGCTATTTATACTCGAATCATGCAGTAGAAAACTCGATTAGATCTCACCGAATTTGACTCTATATTCTGTGGAAATTTTGCTAAACGCTCGGTATATCGACATGGCTAATGGCTTTATTCTCGATGAGATTCGCCGCGCTGGAAAATTCGACGCACATTGCGCGACGAGGAGAGATCTCGTTGAATTGCCAACAATTTTTCTAATTTCCTACAACGTCGGAAAGGAATTGTCGCCGTGTCTTTCGCACACAATTCTTCACGAAATTGTACGTTGCATATATTTGTCCAGAAAGTTCAATAAAATATGTATAAGAAATAGTATTATTTCGATACACAATTGTTTATTGTTGATACTCGACTGCCGTGTGATACTATTGTATAGTGCTGCTACTGTTTCGACATTAGTGAAATGCCCGAAGGATGGATTAATTGAATTAACAATTAATTTTTATGAAACTATTACACACCAGCAACTCACTCTTTCGTTTCCGCAGTCTATGGCAAGTTAAGGATCAGTCAAGTGAAAGTGCGTAAAATGCGCTCGAAACGTGCTCTGTTACAGTCGTGATTTATTGATCGGTACAAATGGACGCAATTAAATTAGTAGTGGACGGAATTACGGAATACGTGCAACATCTCTTTTAGCGAATTCGGCTGGGCGCGTCAGTGCGCACCGTTGCGCAGCCTGAAAGCCGCCGCTGGGCACGGATTTGTACGGTTATTCTTCTGCCACGTTCAAATGAGGAAGAGAGAACATCAGCGAGCCGCAAACACCTTAGAAACGCGAGTCGACAACAAAATCTCGCTGTCACGAATTAACTCCAAGAGATGTTTAACAAATTTTCCAAACTGATGATGTTCAGTCTCTGTGAGTCTGACAATTAATTCGTGAGAAATTGCAAAAGAGCGCGGCGGTCGATCGGATTTCTCAGTGGACGGGATCGTTTCCGTTGAAATTGACTGGAGGAGCTGTTCAATTCGCGAAATAATTTACTCGAACTGATGTCCAGAACGTGAAACTGGAAGCTGAAGAGCGACACAGAGCGAGTGACGGTCAATTAGGACTTCGCGACAGAGAAGATCATCTTTGTTTTTACTAGGAAATCTTTTCCCGTTCGACGTTTACCGCCGAACACCATTCGCGTAACGGGCACGCGGTACCTTGCAGCTTTCAACGCACGCCAGTCGAATTCGCAGTTTATAAATCTCATTACATGAACCCGATGACACCGCAGGCGAGTCGGGCGCCCGCCGATCCGGTCTTCGTGCTCTCCTCGGTTCCGCCACGGCCGAGGTCATCGGATTTCTCATGGACCACTATGGTCCTGCCGATCGCACCTCGGACACCCACCAGGCTCAGGTAGTGATCGAAGCCGTCGATGCGCGCCGTGCCGTCTTGCCCGACCTCGATGTTCCCGAGATCCCCGACGTGACGCAATGGATCGCTGGGAGCTCCGTGATTCACCTGAAACCGATCGCTCTTGCCATTTCACCGTAACACCACGCGAGTAGGGATCGTAATCAGCGAAAAAGGAGAGAGGGAAAGAGAGAGAGAGAGAGAGAGAGAGAGAGAGAGAGAGGGAGAGAGGGAGAAGCGAGTTTTAACTCAGATTTTGAAAAATCTCAATGTAATCTCAAATGTAAATCTAATTTCCCCAATCGTAACTCCTTAACTCCTTCAGATTACTTTCTCCGGATGATTGAGGGAAGGAAAAGAAAGAAAAATCGGATTATCGTTGTTATTAGATGAAATCTTCATTTGGAAATGCAAATCTCGCGCTGTCAGCGCGGGATTACGAGTGCTATGAAGAAATCCGAATGCAAATTTCTTACGGAATATTGAAGCGCAAGAAAATACGCGGAGATATTCTGCGCAGTATGCATAGACATTAAGAGACGAATATTTCGCTATCCGCGAGTTGTCACGAAAATATTTTCGGTGCTTTTGAAGTTTGGACTCTCTTCGAATTAGCATGTGGATGTAATGAGGACGACTCAACGACACGAAATTTTTGCGATATGGTAATACATAATGTTTTTTAAGGATGTGCGTAAAGGATTTTAATTAGCACGATAACGTCGTTACTTCATAACCGGTTTTAATATGCGTAAGGATAACAGGTAGTTGAAAGCATTTATTAAATATTCAACGGTTAACGTGAATTATACTGGGTGTCTCACACTCTCCTCCGGGCATTTTGTAGCGACGTAGAACAGGTTGAGGTGAACATAAAAGTCCTATCCCGTTTTGCGATATTCGCAATAATTAATAGAGATATTAATTGTAGAAAACTTGTAAATGATCATGCAGAATATGGTAAATGAGTTAGAGTAGCGACGACTGCCGTCGTGTACTTATATTTTAAATCAAATTGAACAAAAAAGTTCTCTACCATTTTCCAAATAATCACATAGATTTTTAATGATTAATTAAAGAAGATTATTGCACGATTTTGCGTGATAATGCACTCATCTTCTTTAATTAATAATTAAAAATCTATGTGATTATTTGCAAAATGGTAGAGGACTTTTTTGTTCAATTTGACCTAAAGTATAAGTACACGACGGCAGTCGTCGCTACTCTAACTCATTTACTATATTCTGCATGATCATTTGCAAGTTTTCTACAATTAATATCTCTATTAATTATTGCGAATATCGCAAAACGGGATATGACTTTTATGCTCACCTCAACCTGTTCTACGTTCCCACAAAATTCCCGGAGGAGAGTGTGAATCACCCTGTATATCTTAGGAAATTAAACTCTAGATACATTTATAAAAACTATAAATAGAAAGAAAATGTGAAGGAAAAGTAGAAATTAGAATGGAAATTAACCAAGAAATTAAAGAATGAGAAAGTGTGTGCAAGAATGCGTAAAGATAATAATAGATGAAAACATATGTTATATTAAATATTCTGGATTTATAAATATATGAATCTTCTAAGGATGTAGGTTACATGTTTTAGAAAATTAAACAAAATATAAAAAGAAACTGAAAAATTGGAAAGAGAATATAAGAGAACGTAGAAATGAGGAGAGAAATTTATAGGATTAAAAATTAATAGGATAATAATGTGAGAGTGCGCAAGGATAATAGATAGATGAAAAGATTTATTACATAAAATATTCTGGAATTAAATCCTCTAAAAATGTGAGTTGTTTTAGGAAGTAAAAAAAAAGAATAGAAAGAAAATATTAAAAAGAGTAGAAATTAGAAAGGAAATTAATTTGAAAATCAATAAGAGAATGCCCTTATAGAAATATCATACTAAGAATCATTGATAATTACTTATTATCCAGTATTTTTAATACTGAAAATAAGTAATTATCAATGATTCTTAGTATGATATTTTTATAAGGGTGGTGCAAGAAAATATGTTATGTTACCATATACGGATTGAAATGCGACCCGGCCGAACTGCAGCCCTTCGTCAAGTCTCCCTTCTCGTGCACGTGGAAGCCGTGCAAGCCCGGGCTCAAGCCCGAGATCGTACCCGCGATCCTGACCCCTTCGGGATGCTGCTCGAGCGTAAGAATCCCTCGGGGTCCGTCCACCGGTGAGCCGTCATCACCGAGAGCTTTCAGTTCCACCACGGCCTTCAAGCCGACCGCCTGCACATTTCGAAGGAAAGCCACGTTAACATATCTCCGTCGAGCAATGCGAGCGGGACGCTCGTGATGCAATCAACCAGCGAGTACGATGCAAAGGCGAGGATCCGCGAGAACTCGCCGCGTCGGTCTGGATGTGTACTTTCGCAAATTGATACTTCGACAGGGGTGATTAACGCATCGACTGCCACGGGGCGGTCGCGCCATCATTTCGCTTATTAATTTACGCATAAATCGTGATTGCATCTGGCGAATTAAATGCGTCGCCGGGGGAAAGCGAGCTGACGAAATCAGCTAGCAAATATACGCGTCAGACATATTTACCCCGTAACTTTGATTGTTCAAACGTACTTAAGCTTTATTTTTTTTTGGATAGGGGGAGGAAGAGAGAAACAGAACAACTCTCGGAAATTAATGTAGCAATTAACATGTTTGTTCCTTTTTTATTTATTTCATTACTTTTTCTACTATTAAATCCTTTGAGTTAACAGAAGGTTAGCAAATGAATTAAAGCAAATAGCTATTAAATTACAAACGAGAAAAAATGTTAAATGAGAATAATGATATCGTTTCTTTTTCATCCGAAATATAAGTGGGCGACTTCGCGGGGACATGTGAATGCATAAGAAGTCTTATAATATATCCAGGCACACAAAGTTCACGATTTCGCACGCCTACGGGGTAAGGATTCGTTTCCCCGGAGTTACTTCGCGATCTTAGCATGGGAACCCGTAGACTTTCGTAGCTGCGCAACGAAAATCTATTCGCCACCCGGGAAGCAATTTGTTACTGCTCGATTAATCTATAAATGCAACTGTATGTATGCGCGCGCGCGCGCGATAGAGAGAGAGAGAGAGGAGTCCCAGGACTGCAGCGGAGGGCGGAAATTGATAATGACGTATCCGCAACGTATCGAGCGATACGCTCGCGGAGGAGCGAGGTCGAACGGTATCTCCTAATGCTCGGGACGCGTAATCCACCTGCTTATTGAATCGCATTACAGTCGCCACTGTCATTTGCCGGACGCGGCACGGTCGTCCAGTTTTTGAGCGAGCGGTTCACGGGTGAAATCTGCAATTACTGCCGCGGTCGGACTATAATCTGCCGACGACGATGAAGCGGCAGAAACTACGCGCAAGGTCGGAGCGGCATCAGCCGCGGCTTCGTTAGAATTGCACGAGGCATAGGCGAACGGCGCGCGGATTCATAGTGAAAGCGTCCTCGTAGCGGCGAGAGCGCGCTCTACCACTCGACGTCCTTCGTGATGTTTAAATGACTTAATGGCTAATTATGCAGATTCCCGCGTACGGGAAGACGGGACCGAACGGCTGATGACTAATGATAGACGCGCGCGGCGGATGAAACGCGATCGATTGTATATCGACTGCGCTCATCTCTCGCGCTGAAGAAAAGTATTACGTGGAGATGTTTACACAGAGTCGTGGACGTCGAAAGCGACACGCCATCGTCATCCGCTAACGAGGCTGAGCGAGACCTCGGTCGCTCTTTTCGCGGAACACGAGGAAGCTCGTTAAAATTTTGCGGACGTCGCGAAAAGTAGATGTGTGCACAAGGTGTATATGACGATAGATGGGAAAACGCTCGTCTACGCTTAGATCAGGCCGAACCGAACACTAAGGGACTGAGCACAATAAAAGGAATAAGGAATAGGGAATCGAGAATAGAGAACAGGAAACAGAGAATAGGGAACAGTTCAATATTAAAACATGAAACCTAATTCATCAACGCAGAATAAAGGAACAGAGGAATAGCGTTATTTCTTGTTTTTAGTATTCCTTATTCCTTTTATTGTGCTTAGCCCCTAAATTCACCTACTATTTTGCAAACAACCACGTAAAATTTTAAGTTATTAATTAGAGAACCAAACTGGAAATTATCCCACGGTCTTGATCCCAATTAGTTATCTGATTTAAATGAGGTGATTTGAATAAAGTGATATTTAAATCGTAATGGCGAAGCAATCAGAATCTTATTAATAGTGAGGATTATTAATAATTAGGACTCGATAACTGACCTTCTATTGGCCAGTTTACTGATTGGGATCAACTTGATCAAGATTATGGAATAAATTTCTAGTCGGTGAAAATCAATGAATTGGTGAGTACAGAATGCGACAATAAGATTTCCGTTTGTGTGCTCACACATTGGGTCAAACTGGACGAAGAAGCCCTTCGCAAATACCATTTCGCGAATATATGAGTTATTGACTAAAAAAGATTAATAATCTGTCGCGCGCAATCATTCGTCAATCTCCTTGAATTAACAACTCAAAATTTTGTACGGCAGTTTGCAGAATTGCAGAGATACTCTTATGCTTAGTTTGACTTAATATGTATGAGCGTTCTCTCACCTATTGTCGGACGCTCTGCACAAGATAGATAATGAATATGGATATCGTAAGCTTCATGGCATTTGAGACGCGTCTATGTAGGTGATTTATATAGTTGTTATTCATTATCAGTAATCAGTAGGAAAAATATAAGTATGCGATCCTCGTTCCTTTGGTATGCTATATGGATATGAGCAATAAATCCACTACCTCGCGAGCGATGATGTTGTGACAGATGATTGCTGCTTCAATGGCGCTCGAAGATAATGTTTGCGCGACGACTATTGCCTCTTTAGCACCTACAGAACGTACGTCTACAAGCGTCATACTGACTGTTGAATACATCGAGGGTCTCATTGTTGATGACATACGTCCCATCAGCAAAATCTTCCGTCTAATTTCATGGACGTGGAATGATTTTGTTAATTATCGAAACATGAGAAACCAGTGCGGTTTCGCTCAAGTTCTGAGATGAAAACTTCGCACGTTCTCGCGCGAATCTAACGAGATCGCGGTTATATAATCCTTTTCGTATAAGGTTTCGAAACAACGTGGGGAGGAGAGAGCAGGTGGGGGAGATGATTGGCAATTACGTGATCGAGAGGCAGAACTTCGTTGAAACTTGCAACTTAAATCACTTCCAGCTCTGAAACGTTGGACGTTTGGCCTTTTTTATCCCAGAAGCGAACAGAGTAATAACTGAAAGTGATTTTCTCCTGAATAACGAAATTACAGTTGCGCTCTAATCGACCTTTGATTCCGCAATCATCGAAATTAAATCGCGCGAGTTGAATTCACTCTGTTTGGAGATACCAGACGATCCATAAAAACGACAATTACATCGCGACGTCGGCCGAATCTCCAACGTTTTCGATAACCACCGCTGAAATAACGAAGCACCCCTTTCCTCCTTCGCGTCGAGAATCGCACGTGTAGGACCACGTGTGCAAGACGAATTCCGCACACAACGATAGAGAGTCGTTCATCCTCGATCGCGTCGTCGACGCGGCGCGTTATCGGAAAATCCATCGCGACGATCGATCAAGAGTAGCAACTGGCATACGTACGAAGTAATAGGGCTCCATGTAGACCTCGTAGAGATCGCTTCTGGTCCCGGGGTAGCCCGGCAGGCTCCTGATGAACAGCGTCCTGTCGTTCATCGAAACCGCCATCCTGTCGTACGGGCCGGCCCGCGCCGTTACGATCATAGCGATCACTATTGACAGCCGCCACATGATCTCGCGAGCCCCGAGTCCCAAAAGCGTACGCCGGACTGATGTAACAGCGAGTTCCTGGTCTTCCCGAGTAGTCCTCCAAGTCGATCGGAGGATAAAGCGGCTCTGACGGCAGGACTCGACGGCGCCTACGAGATCTACTGCGCCTCCTCCTCCTCTCCTGCGGTGCCTCTCCTCTCCTTCTCGACTCGATTGCAACGAGGACCTGGCAGCCGAGATTCATCCACTTGCTCGCGATAACGATCGCGCCGTACCGATCAAGGAGCTGCCTTCGAGGACCGCACCTTGAAGACTGCCCTTTCGGAGCAGCGGCAGCGGCAGAAGAAGAAGAAGAAGAAGAAACAGCAGCAGCAGCCACCACCGGCCACCTTCCCGTGGCGTGTATTTATGCGTTACGTCATCGGCGAGTCACGACGAGGACGAGGCCGGTTGTTGGACGCTCGGCTGTTGGAGAGGGCGAAGCACCAGGGGGTCCTCGGATCGCGCGGAGATCTTTCACGCGCGCGAGAACTGCTTGTTGTACCGTACCGATTTAACCAGCCCGCGCACTCCCGGGATCGCACCAGATGGGATCAGACGTGCGAAACGTGAGACGCTCTTTTGCCGGTCGCGCGTGCGTTTTCCTCTTTCGCTGGCAGCTGTCAGCCCGGTCGCCACGCACACACGTTCATTGCACGACGGTGCACGTGGCTGATGAGGCGCGGGAGAGCCGGGGGAGCCGAGTGAAAGCGAGATGTGCCCGTGGGTTTTCGCCCCGGGCTGATGGATCGCTTAGATGCCGTCGATACCGCCGGACAGTCGAGCTAATCTGGACGCTTATCCGGCTGGGCGAGTGCAAAAAATCGCGAAAACCGGGACGCGCAATTTTCGCGGCTAGCCAGCCGGAACGATGACGGGGCCCCGTTGCTTGCGCGAGCTTCTTCTTCGTTCGTTCGGCGATGCAGCGATGACTGACCGCGGATTGTACGGGACTTGGATGAAATCGTGGAATTATTCGCGTAACACCGTCGATCCGATCGATCATGTAATCGGGTTTGATTGACGATCTCTTTGCGAACGGCGGAAGTATTCCGTGAGCCGCTTGCGTTGCCGGCCAGACGAGCAAATGTCAAAATATACCGCGGCTCCAGGAATCTTATTCCGCGCGCGTATCGAATGTCAAATATCATCTTCAAGCTGAAGTAAAAGTTCGTGGAAAAGAAAGGATATAAAAGGGCATTAGAAGGGCGTACTTAACGTTCGCTATGCGTCCAGAATAAGAGTCCCTGGACGAGACCATGGGACGAGCGAGTAGAGAATAATCAGTAGTCCCATGGCTGGGACTCGTAGAAAAAAGACTAACGGTGCTTGCTCTGTACTTAGCAAGAAAAAAAAAGGAGAATGCTAATGGCAGGGAGGGTTTCATTAAAATTCGACACCACCGCCATGAATGCCAATCGATTCCATTCCGTTAGCGCTGATATCAGCATGATTAAATTTCGCCGAGTCGCGCGCGCTCACACGGTATGCGGATTTCATACGTATGAATGTATAATTGCGATCGTTTCGCCGCGGGATCGTATGAAAACGATGAAAACGAAACGACGCTGCGAAGTTTATCGTGCGCGCTAATGATCCGCGGATTCGTCCTTTCCCGAGATGCCATAGTCCGATATTATTCTCGGAAAGCGCAGTGCGTTAGACGCGCCGTGTCACTGTGCATTTTTCCATTAAACGACGATTTACGATTATGTGCGACGATAAAGCTCCCTCGTCCGTGGAAAACAACGAGAGAGAGAGAGA